CATATAATATCCTTGTTAAACGGTTTAACAAAACTAACGGCACTTGCATAATCCAGTCACTCGGTATTATTTTATACCGTAAATAGCTTCGCACAAAAATCCTTAAAGGGCACGGTGTGGTGTGTTGAAACACTGTATAAAGGTAAAATCAGGTATTGCGGTGTATATCCTCTCATATGAAAATAAAGTACATGTTTATCGGCGAAAACAAGAGAAGCCTGAGCTGTTATTGAGCTGTCTGATTAAATCGCTTCTTCTCATTTTTCACCTTTTCCGTACCTTCAGCTTTTAAAGTTTCAAATTTTTGCTGAACTGACCACGAGTTTGAAGCTCAGGCTTCCTGCAGAGTGGCACGATGAACAATGTTTAGATTGAATGATAACAATATTGAAATTGCGTTTTTCGCTGACGTTTTTTGTGAATTCTTCCTCTACATACAGTATTTGATAAGAACGATGTCTTGTTTTATAAAATTATTGGTCCCCTGAATGATTTGATTTTATTGTTCAAATAAGGTCACCAGCTAGCTCCTGTTTATCAGCTTTTATCTATTTTAAATTCATAGCTTACTTCGCTAAGAATCTATATTATTGCTATCGTCAATATCGATAACACCATCTCATTATTTTGTTTATTGATATTGTTATCATTATTTTGGTTGTCATGATTATTGCTATCGCTATTATTGATATTATTTATTATTGTTATCTTAATTGTTATCATCTCTATTATTTCTATTATTATTACTATAATTTGTTTTTAAAGCATATCCCTAATGAATTTAAAGGCGATCTTCGCACTTTTTTTTTTACTACTTAAGCAGTAGTGAAAATAAGGCCTGAAAAAATTCAGGCCCGTTCGGGATTATAATCCATAACCTCTGCGATAGTGTTCATTACTGCGAAGATCGCCTTCGAATTCATTTCTTAAATCACAGGTAACATATATGATTTTCATATATTTACAGTCATTCATATCCCTGATATTTGCCTTAGCAAATTAATTTACAGTGACAAGGTACTAAGCAGATAATTACAAGCCAAGTAGTCCATCTCTAATAGAAAGTAGGTGCTGCCGAAACTACGAGATCAGTTAATTTTCTAGTGCTATTGTAGGTAACCCGGTAGGATGTAAATAGTCTTCGCAGGGTAGCGCTCAAATGAAACACAGTCCAGAAAAGCGTTTTTGATGACAGTGATGCTACGGAAAGGTATTCTAAGTAAGATGAAATACTTCCCAGTCCCCAGGTGAGAAGTTATCTGTACCGGTCAAGAGTTTACGTTGATCCCTACTCCATCCGGTAGTTCGTAAACCCTGTTTCCTCCAAGAAATGCGTATGATTCCATGTTGCTGTTGGCGTGGTCCGCTATGTAAATGTCCCAGGCGGCTCCAAATGTTGAACCTTTTCCTGAGTCGCCGAAAGTTGTAAATTGTGGCCACAACACCATGCTCTTAAATGGATATAATTCCTCTTTGTTCCGTAAAGAGAGTATGAACGAATTGTTGGTGCTTTTGTAGTCACCTTTAGTATCTGAAGAGCAAGCGCGTGATTACCAATTAGAGTGACAGCCAAGGGTAAAGGGTGCCTGTTTCTGACTTGCACATGCTATGTATTTATTGACTACGTGAGAGGACCGGAAGTGAAAGTTTTTGGGTGGAGGTCATAACGTTTGGACCTCTTTTCTATTTTCATTCGTAACCTATTTTTTTCTTAATGTTTTTCAATAATTGCGCGCTTGTTGCCGAACAGATCATATAATAAACTGTCAGATCATTTCAAGTTGATTCGATCAATCAATTAATGAATATATAAATAGCTAAACGAGTTTATAAAACATTGATATTTAAGCATATAGGAGATGTTGTTTTTTTCCATTTTGCTTGTTGCACTATGAGTGGAGTGAATATCGACATTGAAGAAAATCTCTCATAAAATAATGACGTCGTCAATGTTGGTACCGGAAACGTGGACCCCCATAAAAAGGCTCAGTATTGAGAGGGCAGTGGGTTGTTTTTTAGTTTCATGAAAGTTCTCGCTTCAGTTAAAGGATAATGATACGATTTTCAAAGGAGTGTAGAAATAAAAGAAAAAAAAAGAAAACAATACGAAAAAGCAATAACAAAAACACTAACTGTTAGAAGAGAAAGCAAAGCAAAAACATCAAAATAAGAGCATGCTTGTTTTTTAGTTTCAGGAAAGTTATATTTACCCCATGGAACATCGGTGTATCCTCCAAATACGTACTGGCCATTTTTGATGATGATCACAGTATAAATTTTATTGTCGCATCTGTCATGAAAGGTTTTTGCAGCCCAGCCGTGCGTGGAGGCGCGGTGGCACAGCAACCACTGTGAATTATTTCCTACTGAGCAGGCGACAAAAAATGTAACAGATTGCCGAGAAACTTGGTGTTGCCCGCCAATATTGTAGAATTGATCAATATGCCTAAGCAAAAAAGCATATAGTGCTTACTATTGGCTTTTGGCACTAGTAATTATAATAATAACGATAATAGTAAAAACTCTTGATATATCGGGCCTCGTAGGAAGCTGCGCTCTTAGATTTTGCCTTGCGATAGGATTTCATATAATAATCATAATCATATTAACAATAATGATAATAATGGCAATAACAATAATAGTATCAATAAATATAAAATAATAAAATATTAATAATATTATTAATTGACATATAGAGAAGTTTTGACTGTGCTCTGTTCTATTGTAAAGCAGTTAAGAAGCGGTAGGAGCCCGAAAGAAGTGTAGGGGGAATCATGATAGACTGCATCGCACCCCTCCCTGAGAACTAATGGTGTGTTCCCCCCCCCCATAAAATGGTCCAAAAAAATGTTCCAAAACATGGTCCAAAATATGGTCCAAAAAATAGTCCAGTCCATATTTTACCCTATGCCTTTTTTTTTACCACTCAAGATTGGCAGCAACAATATCATCAAGGGCCTGGCTGCCAAGGGCTATAAAAGAACATAAAAAAAGATAAATTCCATTGGTTTGAGTGTTGGAAGTGCATTTTTTGATCGAAGCAAATTTTCGGTTTTAGTCCGAAAGGGGGATGGTGCCTCGTTCTCTCGTGGAGAGATAAATTTCTCAAACGAAATTTTTGCCAACAGACACCGGGCTGACGAAGGTCTAACGCTCGGAACGTCAGCTTTTAAACTCTTTACGGTGACCAGTCTACGTCAACATAATACCGTTGATAATACTAAATTACTGTACCCTGTAACTACATTACCAGAGCCACGTCAGTGAGAAATATGGACATTCTACAGGTCTTGTCACATCGTGGAAAATAAATAAAAACACTCCATCGTTGAACGAAAAGACTACGAGATGACGACATCGTAATTTTTTCTCTTAGCTGAGATACGCACGACTGAACAGAGTGCATAATGCAATACTATCCATTTTTTTTTGCATTGTAAGTAAAGCAGATTTGTAGGTTCTTCCTTGCACATACCATGTTTCGTTTTAAATACGTTGATTTGAAACCGTGGTAAAAATTTGCAATTTTTTTTCAGCTTATTGTGGTTTCCAAGTTGATATATAGGCGACAAGGGTCAACGATTTTTGTTCAATCGTTTAACGATCAAGAACCCCCAACTGCGTGTTGATTTAGTTTAAGAATGATAATGCAAACTGCAGAATTTTAAATCCCCGCCAAAATAATGACTAAAATAAATCATAACCGAACGTGAAACAGCGCAGCACCGTGAACCCAAAGTTTTCCATCTATTTAATATATTTTCAATTGATTTCGTGACACTCGATGATTTAACAATCCGACATTCGTACAACGATATTCGTCACCACAGTGGTCAAAATGTTGTGGACTCGCGAGGCGCAGCCCTGTGAATCCACAACAAAAACTAGTTCGATTCTTCACTTTTCGGATCGATCATAAATTGAAGAAGAACCTCCGCCATTTTGAAATTTGGCTAATTTATTTTACCCATTCGATTCAGTCGAGGAAATTGTTGATGGTCTCCCTCCCATGTGCCGACGTACCTTCGGGGGAAAACCGGTCGTGTAATAATTTTAAGAGACAGTTAACCTAATTCTTAGATCTCTTGAAAAACTCCACAGCACAGCTTGATGAATCTTGAAGAGCTGTGGTCAATTTCGATGACAGAGGGCGCTCATATACTCAATGCTTAATTCGTAGTCATAAAGATCTACCAGAGTCTATTACTAATAGGCGTTGTTTCCCACGCTTTTGTAAGCAGGATACAGAAAGAGTCCTTGTCGCGACCAATTGGGCTGTTTATAGTTACTGTCTCCACTTAAATTCCATTTGCAGAGAGGATGATGAGTCCCTTTTGGTGAGGAGAGGTACTGAATATTTCAGTGGCAGGTTTTCCCTCTGGTTTTCACTCTCGTTTGCAAAACGCCAATGAAATTATTGGAAACAATTTCTAACTGGGCACCCCTTCCGCGATGAGTTATCAACGGGACGTGTATATTTTAAACATTGTTTTCGGCAGACTGAAATGAGAGCATTTCGAAAACGTCTTCTCCTTTTTCTAGTAACTCTAGCTTTCAAAGTTTCGATTTGTAACTTATCCGACCCGACCATTTTAACCTTTCTATGGAGTACCGGAGGAAGATTGTATATTGTATTCGATATGAATAAGATTGTAGATCGAAATTGTCAGTTTCGTGCTAATTTTTATTGATATTCCTTCCTTTGTATACAATATCAAATTCTTAGCTCCGAGACAATTAATATAATTGGGTCACTATATTTAGCTCCAGGTACACAGCACTGCTTACAGGAGAAGTCCACTTGCCTATTACTGCTAACCGAACATTTGAAATTATGCGATCGTGAACATCGATATCGCTATCACAACATGATTCACAATTATATTTACAATCATTTTAGCATAATTTTTGTTATTATCATTGTTATGACTTTTTTCATTAATAGTAGTAGTAGTATTTTTATCAGTACAAGTTGCATTCCTATCATTATAATTGCCATTGTTATTGTAATTATTATCATTATCATTACTTTATATTATTAAGGTATATTTTAATCTATCCCTTCGCTTGTTGGATTCATTTACAAGGAGTACCCTAAGCTTTTCAGTGCGGATAAATTGAAGTCATTTACGTAGATGATCTAAGATAGTAAATAAGTAGTGCTGAAACTATCAGATATCTGAAACTATCTAGTGAATCACAGGCCAAGTAAAGAGTTTTTGATGGCAAGGGTATTTTAACCAAGATAAAACACCTCCCAGTCATCAGGTGAGAAGTGTGGTGTACCAGACAAGATTGTGGCTGGCGTATTTGCTCCTTTTGGTGTCTCGTAGCAGCTAAGGTGGGTGTATGAACCATTGTTACTGTTAGCATTATCCGAAATGTAAATGTCCCAGCCACCTCCAAATGTTGGACCATACTCCTCATACTTGTAAATTGCAAGTTGTGGCGTTATGACCATGCTCTTAAATGGATGCAGTTCTTCTTTGTTCCGTAGAGAAAATATGAACGCATTGGGAGTTTTGCCATAACCACTAGAAGAATCTAAAGAACAAAAGGGTAGGTACAATTTAAACTACTGCCTTGTTTGGGTAAGGAAGTGGTTGAAGGGCCGCTGACTAGAACACCGCACAATGGAAATATCAGAGACTGGTTTATTTGCGTACTTTAGCCTTTCGAGGAATAATGAATTCGAAGTTCAATGAAAGTCTATTTACCCCAAGCAATATCAGTGTATCCTCCAAACAAGTACTGGCCATTTTTGATGATGGTCAGGGTGTTTGGTTTAAGGTCGCACCTGTCGTGAAAGGTTTTTACAGCCCAGCCGTGCGTGGAGGCGCGGTGGCATAGCAGCCATCGTGAAGTATTTCCCACGGCGGGTGCTAGGAAATGTGAAAGGTTGCCGAGAAAGCTCCCGATGTTTGACAAAATTGTAGAGTTGATGGACAGACCTGCAAAATAAAGCAACGATGTCACATTGTGAAGATTATGAAAGTCATTCTGACACAAATAGAGTTTTTCATCAATTATGATTGGTAATGGCGGTTTGCAGATTGCAAATTTCACGTATCCCGAAATATTGTGAAAGCTAACAGACAAACCAAAGCAAACACAATTTGAGGGTGATGATCATTTAAAATGATAATTTTTAATTTATAATTAATTTGTAATAAAATTATGGAACTGGAAAACACTAACAAAATTAACAAATATCCTTGTATAACTGGCTGACTGACCATAGGTGCAGGATAATTTAGAACGTTGTATCAATTTTCGATTCTGACTAAATTCGTAATAACGCTATATTTGTAACGTTTTTTATATAGGTCCAAACACAAAGCCGCTGCAGCTGTCCCATAGCATTACCCTTGTATCTATTAAATTGTTGCGTAAGCCTTACCAGATACATTTTCACATCGAGGACCAAGAAATCCAGGCGGACAACCGCAGTCGAAACTATTGAGTCGATCAATGCAGGTTCCACTATGCAGACATGGATCATCCTTGCAGTCGTTGATGTCTGTAGAAAAGGTATAAAGGCATTAAACCTGTTACAAAATAGCTCTTCTGCAGCTCTTGTGGTCCCTATAAGAATTGGGAAATCTATTCTTGTCGTTAGGAAGAGTTACGCAGCCCTCGAGAGTGCACGGAGTCTCTGATCAGTGGTCTAGAACGAGAACCGCTGTGAGGACGCAATGGTTTTTAAATGTAGGGTGTTCGGCAACGAACACATAATTTTTTTGTTGTTCGAAATGAAGAACCTGTCATCTTGGAAAGGATTAGTAAAATATTGACGATCACGTGCAGACGTGGTCTCCAGTAATTTGAACGTTGACATTTGTTCAAAACTTTTCGAAAACTAAAGATAGAAACAAAGATGAAGCCGATCGACACACTTAACTATCTAGATGTCAAAATATTGTAACCTTTATGGAGGTCAGAGTCGAAAAAAACTGCGTCCTAACAGGCTCTTCCTTTCCATTTTTCAACGAGATGCTTAAGCCTTTGGGTTTCGTTTAAACTAAAGTAAATATAAGAGGAAAAACCAATTTCGACTGTGTACTGATTCCTTTGCGGTAGACTCACTTGTTTGGCAATCTTTTCCCGTGAATCCGATGGCGCAAACACATACATAACTCTTGGTATTGTACTGTGGCACACATGTCCCGCCATTTTGGCAAGGCCCATTGGCGCATGGGGTCTACAAAGGAAACATGGGAAAAACAATGAGTAGGGAACACGTAAAAGACCAGCGCTCTTAACTAGTGACTTAGCTAAGCGAACAAACGTAACCATAAACAAAGTCAAGCCAACGCATGAAACTCAGGCTATGTAGTTCCGCAAATGGTGGGATTACCTATGAAAAGAAGAACCTGTCTCCCCCTCTTACTTTTGCGTGTCGTTTGGATGGGAAATACAGAAACCCTTCAATCGAAGGTCCAGCTGCAGTCTTTGTACTGTTTAGAAGAAAGAGACCTGAACCTTCCCCTTCCCTCCCCTTCGCTATCATTCTCCAGAAAAATGAACTCTTTGTCATGTTAACGATCAACGAAGGATTTTAATTAAATCGAACAGGTGTTATAGAAAACGTCCCGTATTGCGAAATCATACACGCCTAAAATAATATCTTAAAAATCATCATTTTGGCGAGACCTAAGTATTCGGGTCAGAAAATAGTTTTAGAGTTCCTGTTCTACTTGCCAACTATATTTGAAGACAGCCAAGAGCAGTTAGATTTGCGCCTAAACACCGACATCGAATTTTCATCGTCGTTTTCATTTATCTCCGGCAGCAAAAATTAAGCACTATCGTATTTACTAAAAATTTATTTTGGTCAGTAGCCTGACCCAAGCTTTTAAACACGGCGATTATAAGGGGAACGAAGTCGTGATAAGCAAGCAAAGGATATGAATCGAAATTATTCAACCATGTAAGTTGAAATAATTTTCTTCCTTCATTAAAATTAATGGATAATTTATTTCTATGGAAAGGATTCTTAAGATATTAATTTAGGCGTGTATGATTTCGCAATAAGGCACTTTTCTAAAACACCTGTTCGATTTAATTAAAAATGTATTTTCCTTTGGGGCTTTCCTCCTACAGCACGCAAAATTTTAGATAATACTGAACCAGATTACTTACCCAAATACTGTAATGATGAAAACCACGCTTTTCGGTAAAATTGCCCGAATTGTTGTACTTGTCTGATGGAAGCAGTTTACACAGGAGTGTTCCGGTCACGGCCTCCAAGTTGTACGAAAAACACTTTGGGTTGGCTGCACAGGCAAATCCACATTCGTCACCGTCTTCAACTTGGGCTGAACTGATCTCTGTGATATCCAAGTAAGAATCTTTTTCTTCTACCATCATCATCAACAACACGCCCTCTGAGGAATCTCGAGTGAGACCTTTGAAATAAAAGGTCCAAGAATTTTTTATAAACTGCCACAGACATAGCTCTACTAAACGCTATTACCATCACAAATAACGAACGAAAGTTAAAATTATCGCAGAAAATAAACTTTACAGTACCTTGCGAAGTATGGAGACAACCATAAAGGCAGACCAGTAAATGCAAACATTTTCGAAGGACGCCGAGTCCCATATCTTATCTGTCTGAGATGTTGAATTGTTATAATATACGATATAACAGCACAGAACGAATGACTTTATTAAAGCAATAATATTAACATAAGAGGCTTTGAAGAGGAACGTTTTGAAAAATTATTTGTTGTTATTTGACCAGAAGGAAATGCAATTAAATGGCGCGAGTACGGTTTCTAGGTTATCGGCGTGGTCTTAACCTCTTTTATAATTGGGAAAAGTTTTTTTTTCTTTCGTTTTTTAAAAGTCAAAACACAGCGTAAGTTACTCAAAGCTGTCGGAGCCAAAGGTTTTTTCGTTTTACAATGAGCCGTTTTTTCGTGCTCACACGATCAGAGCCAAAGAGCTCGCTCAATCAACAGGATTGTTTCAACCGCAAGTTTATGCCATTCGACCAGACCATGATATAATTATTCATGATTGCGTAATTTGTAAACTGATGATGTTCAAAAGAAGTCCTTGGAGCACCTGTCTCCGTGAGACCAAAGAGTCGATATCATGATCACTGCGTAACGATTTAACAAAACCAAATTCACCACCAAAAACAATCCCTCGACATCTTCTTTTATTAAGGGAATGGCTTAATTGTTAAACGGGTCGAAGAAGCATTTAACGCCTTTGAAAGTACAGGGTATGCAACTCTAAATAAGAGCTGAAGTAGATGCTACATTCGGGTAACAATTATGCCTCCATCTGAATAATTTTAGACCGTATCAAGAGAATTTGAATATAGTGGAGATGGTAATGTTTTGCTCGTCCTTTGCTTCAAAATTACTCGGCTAAGTAGAACTTAATTATAGTGTCGAAAAGCTAGCCTCGCAAAGACTTTTTTGTCCTAATTGATTATTTTCCGTCTTCCGTTCCATTTATTAGCGTGGTATTCCATATGCTTACTAGCTCGATTTCAATGTTACTAATATACCTTCATAAATGTCTCTACCCTGATAAAATTTATCACCGTAATGTTATATATTCTATCATAATTATCACTTCACCACTGCAAAAAATGAGGTTTTTGATTATACCATTTCAGACCTTGATTTCGAATCTTATTTTCGACAGCCATAACTTTACTAACTGCATATATCAAATTGAAGACGGAGGTATTTTATTTTGGGCTTGTTTTGTTTCATTATGCTTTGTTTTGGTTTGCATAAATTTGTCAAAATTTTGAAAGGGTAAATATAGACAAAAATTTCGTTCTGAGTGTTTTACAAATGTGGTCTTAACATCTTTTATAATTGGGAAAAGCTTTCTTTCTTTTTTTTCGAATTTCATAACCGTGTGAAGGGCGGAAGGCGATTGATTGCCAAATATCAAAACACAGCGTAAGTTCTCCAAAGCTATTAGAGCCGACGGTATTTTTTGTTTCACACTGGGTCGTTTTTTCATGTCGACAACAAAGCCCAACTGTCGCTCACGATCAAAGCCAAAGACCTCGCTCAATCAACAGGATTGGTTTAACCGAACGTTTATGCCATTAGACCAGACCATGATAAAACAATTCATGATTGTGAAATTTGTAAACTGATGATGTTCAAAGGAAGTCCTTGGAGCACCTATCTTCGTGAGACCAAAGGGTCGATATCATGATTATTGTACAGCGATTTGAAAAAAAACAACTGCGCCATCGAAAACAATCCCTCGACGTTTAAGAGAATAGCTTAATTGTTAAAAAGGGTCGCAGTAGCCTTTAAAGCCTTTGAAATATGGGATATGCAATTCTTAAAAAGAGCTGTAGCAGATGTTACATTCGGGCAACAATTATGCCACCATCTGAAAATTTTAGACCACATCAGGAGAATATCATGAAGATGGCGATGTTTGGTTCGCCCTATGATTTAAAATTACTTGGCTACATAGAACTCAATTGAACTGACTTAAAATTAGCCTTGTAAAGACTTTTTTGTCCCGATTGATTATATTCGGTCTTCCGTCTCATTTATTATCGTGGTAACCATTTGCATGCTAACTAGATTCCAATGTTATTGCCGCGATGTAACAGTCTCTAACCTGATATCCGTTATCACCGTAATGTTGCATATTCTACCTTAATTATCACTTCGCTACTGCTTAAAAAAAAGATTGTTATTCCATTTCAGTACTTTGATATCGAATCCTATTTTGGACAGCCAAAAATTTATCAACAATATATATCAATTCGAAAGACGATGTTTTGGCGGGTTTTGTTTTTTTTTAATTATACTTTGTTTTGGTTTGCATAAAACCTTTCAAATTTTCGAAAGGGTGAAAAAAGACAAAAATTTTGTTCTGGATGTTTTACAAACGTGATATTAACATCTTTATAACTGGGAAAAGCTTTTTAATTTTTTTTTAATTTCACAGCCGTGCAAAGGGCGGAAGGCGATCGATTTTACGAAATATCTAAACACAGCATAAGTTATTCAAAGCTATTGGAACCAGCAGGTTTTTTTCGTTTCACACTGAGTCGTTTTTTCATGCAGAGAAAGAAGCCCAACTGTCGCTCACGATCTGAGCCAAAGACCTCACTCAATCAACACTAGGTTTTAGTTTTCCCACAATTTTTAACTTTCTTTCCCCTTTTGTGGAAATCAGCGCAAACAAGCGAGAGTTTTAGGGCGTTTTCATGGACGCCTAAATGAAAATTCTTGGTGAATGAAAGATAATTCTAGAAGATACATGAAAGAAAAGTTCGCTCGTAAACGATTCCGTGCCTGCAGTGAATTAATTGTTATGAGAAATGGCGAGGGATTTAAAAAAGAAAAATCGTGTTTATCTCATAAAGTTTTCAAAGAAAAGCTATTGTCATTTTCTCGTTGCAAAGATAACGGAAGTGGATTAGAGTCACAGCAGAAATTGTGATATTCTGGAGGTAAATTGAAATCAACGTAGTACATGAAACACTTCACGGTGATATATATTACTGTCAAATACATCAATCGAGACAGAACAATTCTTAACGAGGCTAGTAATCATCTAATAATTCTGAAACAGACGAATCGCTTCTTATGAACTCAATGCAAATTCGAAATTTGAATTTAAACAAATTTTGGCTTTGTGTTTAGCCAGTTAAATTGAATTAAGGCCCACTTAATTGACCAATCATTGCGCGCCTACCAACCGAGAGATGTAACGAGTACTCATTCCATATCTACGCGCAACCATGTATTATTTGTTTGTTTTACAGACCCTAGAGATTTGAACTGACAAGAACAGTCGTTTTATCAAAAGGCGAAAGGCGAGTCATGCGTTAGGAACTGATTTGCGATACCAAACACATATATGAAGAATTATCGTAATTTACACGCTGTGGTAAAGGCTTTTATCCCATAAACTGCGGTGTTATACTGGGATTTCTGGCTCTGAGAAAAGCCGTAACAACACATGTGAAAAAATATCGTATTCTTTCACGTGTGCTGATATAGCCAATCAGCTGCTGACACGTCACTCGCCTTTGGCGCCACTCGTGCCATTTTTCCATTTTTCCAAGAGACATTCCATATTTACGCGAACTCATTTATTATTCTCTATTTCTCAGGGTCGGAAATCAGCAGTTTATATAATGGTAATAATTATTTTGTATTCAAAATAAAAACAGCGAGCACAGCATTTCTGGTCTATAATGACCCTAATATAATGACTTTAGACGTAATGAACAAATTATGGTGACGCAATCATTCCACATATTTAACTAAATTTTATAATTTTGCCATAAAACAGAATCGTCTCGCCGAGACGTTTTACAAGATAAGCTTATTCGACGACACATTTTAATCAACACATTTCTTTTTTATCGGAACGTGACCTGCACATATTGAACTGAAAAGCTTGTCTCGGATTTTTGTTTTAGCGTCTCGTTATTTTTAACGTAGCTTTTAGGTAGCGCTTTTGAGCAAAGTTTTCAATGTAGACGCTATACCTCGAGGAAGATGATAAAAATATAAAATCAGGTACATGCTTTTCGGTTTCGTTATATTTCCGACTTTATATCCAAATTTCACGAAAATGGATCTAATATCAGCCAAGCAACACGATTTTTTTAACGTTTTTTCAAGAACACTTGAGAGACAATTTGTCGAGAACGAAAGATAATTCCAAAAAGGGACTACCAAGAGAAGTTTGTCTCTAAGTGTTCTCGTTCGCAAAATGGTACACCGCATTCGCAATCACCTTTTCGAAGTAAATGGCGAGGGATTCTAGCGTGGTTCACAGCGCCTCCCACCTTCGGAATACTAGTGATAATAGTTGAGAAATTCGTATCGACACCAAGAGTAAAACACATTTCAAGCTTTTCGTGCGATATTAGAAAACCATATTTTGTAAATGTTGACGACAAGTAAACCACTTATTTAAGGTATCGTGAACTCGACATATTTGAGACTCGTACAGCTCTCTTCAAGGGGAGCTCGGGAGAGTTTGACTAATTCAGCTCGAGAGGATGGAATATTGTTAAGGCAAAATTAGATATACGGCCGTATATTATTGTTAGTCCACGTCACTGCTAAGTACTGATGATACACGTTCGCGTGACAACTGTTATTAGCCTTTAGTCGTGGTCACAACTAACAAGCGCATGAAAGATAAATTTCGGTGAAAACACTTTTTTTCTTTAATTCTATATGTGGGTCGTGCCTCAGTTATTCTCAAGGCAAATCAGTTACGCTCTCAGTAAAAAATGCATTGTTACAGACCGATTCTGTTTTTATAATCTAGAATGGCGAACTTGCTTGACCTTGTAAGTCTAACAGTCAGTTGTTTGCATGTTTAACCCCTTCAGCACAGACGTCCCGTCTCCTGTCACGTCACATATCCTAATCTCGTTCCATTTAAATCTTCCTCTTAAGCTTTTTCCTTTAGGGCTATTCATCTTAAATATTTACCGCTGTCATTTTATTATCATCATTGTTATCAAAACTTTTGTAGTCTCGCTAATAGCTTTCCCTGAAGTACTGTAAATTCCTTACATTTAGACTTTTAATGTCAGTATTATAGAATGTAAGCAAGGATGTGGAATGAGTGGTTTTTGATGCAAGCCTTTGTAACTGATAGCTTAAACAAACTTTTCTAG